GAATCTTCAAAATTATTCTATGATTTTTTTTGTTTTTAATTCTGTTATTTTAAGTTCATTGTTATGGTATAATGAAAAAAGAGAAGGGGGTCACCGTATTGGTTAAAAGATATAAGGCTATAAAAGGAGGGATTTTTCAGTCTCCGCACGTTTTTTCCGAAAATCTTCCTCCTCTAATAAATTTGAAAATCGTTTTAAACTATAGAAAATACACATGATAACAGTGAACACGCATGATAACAGTGAATACACATGATTACAGTGAATACACATGATCACATACATACATACATACATACATACATACTTTATTCGTCCTCTATAAGGCTTTTCAGAATAAAGGGCCTAATTAATTACAATTAAAATAATACTATATATAATTATATAAGAAGCAAAAAGAAAAGATCAAAGAATAAAGTAAATAAATAAATAGATAAATAAATTGTACATTTAAATTACATTAAGGTTTTAGAAAATCTGAAATAAGATGTACACAGTGAATACACATGAATACAGTGAATACACATGATTGCAGTGAACACACATGAATACAGTGAATACACATGATTGCAGTGAACACACATGAATACAGTGAATACACATGAATACACGTGATTACAGTGAATACACATGCTCACAGTGAATACACATGATTACAGTGAATACAGTGAATACACATGATAACAGTGAACACACATGAATACAGTGAATACACATGATTACAGTGAATACACTTGATAACAGTGAACACACATGATCACAGTGAATACACGTGAATACACATGAACACACATGAATACAGTGAATACACATGATCACAGTGAATACACATGATAACAGTGAATACACATGAATACACATGATAACAGTGAATACACATGAATACACATGATAACAGTGAATACACATGAATACACATGATAACAGTGAATACACATGATCACATTGAATACACATGAATACAGTGATATAAGTAACGTTATAAGTATATACTATATCGTGTATGTATACAGTGTAGAACCATGTATAATAGTGCCATTACATGGGGTCTTACATCAAGGACGGACCTAAACAGGGTACCCCTTTCAGAATCCCAGCGGAACACCCCTACCCAAATTCTGGCGGAGTACCCCCCCCCCCCTCCCGGGGGGGTACGAACTTAGCCGGCGGGTTACCCTGTGCTAGGTTGACAGGGAAACCCTTCTGCCCGAGTTAACTTTTTCCTTGTAATGTAAAGTCTTTAGCTAGAGATATATTAAACTCGTCTTCCCAGGTCAATTTTTAATCGGTTGTTAAATCTCTTGTTTCACAACTTAACTTAATAATTATCATGACCCAGCAAATGTTGTAATTGCAATATTAAAAGGTACAAGAGAATATGAAGTCCAAATTACACTAATATTTTGTTTGTTACGAGCCTATCGTAAAGTTACCCCAGGCAATAGTGTTACCCTACGTATATTTTTCCCTTGTAAAGCCGAGCTACCCGAGCTGGCGGTTAACCCTCCCTATCTGCTTGTAAAGCGGTCTTCTTAAGTCTCTGCATGGTTTGTGTTTTCATATGAAAATTTTAATTCAATCAGTTATATTGGTCTCCATTAACTATGCCTACACTCACATTATTTAAGTCCGAACATTGCAATGGTGATTGTAGCACAGTATGGCACGGAAACATGATGTACAATTTCCTAACGCCCGCAACCACCCAGAAAATGCAATTGATTGAACTTTAATAACTGAATTTGTTTAGTTATGTTTTCTGCTTTAAGAAATAAATTTCTCCATCTTTTTTTTTTTAATAAAGAGAAAGTTTTTGATAGCATTAATGCAACCAAAGAATCTATTGCTGTGAGTAATATGTGACGGGATCAAAAGAGATCAGGAAAACAATAGTGTTCACGAACCATCAACTGACATCATGTTTTAATGTGTTGTTTGCAGGAAGATATTAGTTGACGTGGCACTGAACGGATACTGGTCTGGAAGTGTTATGACTGACAAAATTTTCCTGTTTCTATATCAGTACGTGTCTGAGCCTGATTTTTGCGTGTCTTCATCCTCAGCGGTATATGATACACGAATCTTCGCGTGACTTAAATAAGTTTATCTGAGTTGGAAATAAGCGGCAAGGCATTCGTCGACATTCTGTACTTTTTGTACAGTGCCTAAGGATTTCTCGTCAGTATAATTCATATTTGTTTCTTGGCCGATATTTCTATAACAAAGATGCATTTGATCGTGATTCACGGGTATATTTTGAGTGGCACAGGCTCTAACATTTATACCACTAATGTGGCGAAAACTTGGAAGAAACACGGTCATGCAGTGACCATCGTTTGCCAAGACCCAATCGCGGACAAACTTCCTTTCGTGGACGAGTTTTATGCTGGTACAGATAAAATCCCTACATCTCCACCTCAAAATGGAACAATCAGAGTGGTTGTGCCTGATATCAACCGTCTTCTTCTGGTGTATAGCTACGATGAATACCCTGGTTATGTGGTCAAGACCTTGAAAGAGTGCACACTTGAAGAAATAGAAGCTCACATCGAAATGACCGCCAAAGGTCTTCGTAAAGTCGTCGATCAAGGAGCTGATATGATTCTCACGAATCACATTTTGTTGTCGCCTGTCATAGCAAGTCGAGCAACGCAAGGTACAAGTGTTCCTTATGTATGCAAGTTGCATGGCAGTGCGATGATTTTTTCGCTCAAGCCAAGACTACCAGAACTGAAGCCCTATGTCGTAGAAGGTTTGCGAAACTGCAAGCGTATCATAGCTGGTACAAATCACATTAGAGCTGTGGCATGTGAAATACTGAAGAGTGAAAAAGAAGTTATTGGAATGGATAGAAAAATGGTGATCATACCTCCAGGATTAGATCCCGATGTATTTCGAGCTGGTGGAGATCTCGACGAAAGACAAAGTGCCTTTTTGACGAATGTTCAAGCTTTCAAGACCAGAAAACCCAATGGTAGAAAGGCTTCAGCAATCTCCCATCCATCCATTACTCAGTCACTGCAAGATTTCCACAATAATTTGGTTGCTGTTGCCCATTCATACAATCAGAGAGCAATAGATGCTGACTTAGTCGAGCGATGGATCCCTTTCCAAGAGGGTGATTTCATTATTTGCTATTTTGGTAACTTTTTGGATACAAAAGGAGTAGGTGAACTGCTCACTGCATTCCCATCGATATTGAACCGAATCCCAGAGGCAAGGCTATTGCTAATCGGTTTTGGGCGGTACAGAGAACACCTGGAAGGCATGCTACAGTCTCTAAAGGAGGGAAACCTTGAATCCTTTAAGGTAAGTATATTGGCATATTAGTTTCATTTTAAGCTCACTAAATTTGTTGTGAAGTTTCAATCCCCGCCAGATTCCCATTTTCGGTCAACATTTAAAAAACATGTTGTTGATGTTAAAAAAGAAGTGAATTCAAAGTTTACGGCCTAAAAAGTTTTAAAATTTAACATTTAAGCTCTTCTTGGTAAAAGTGCACATAATTTGCGTGTCGAATAGCCAATTAAACTATGGTGTACTGAACTGGTGCATTATAATCATCGTATCTTTATTAAGTATAATAAAGGAAATAAGATTTTCCTGTTTCTCTTAGAAAACAACATGCATGATCCATAATGAATTTGAAGGATAAGAAAAGACACAAAAATATACATGACTCATGGGGATCAAGTTTTGATGTCACGACAGATATCTGTTACGCCAGATATCTCTGTCACGCCAGATATCTCTGCAACCTTCTTTCAACACAGGTGGCCCAAGCTAGGTTTCTGTGGTGTCATGTCATAAGAATGTTTATTATTTTTACACAAGTGAATTGGTCCCAATTTACGTCTTGTATTTTATCCTCACTGCATACTCATTACCGAGCCACGGGAAGTATGGAACCGCGACTGCTGGCAATGAGCATGCAAAAAGCATGCGATGCGTCGTCAACCGCCACCAAGTGTTCTACTCTATCCTTAGGCAGCTTCCGACGGAATGATTCAAGGATCTGGGTGTGACGGTTATATATGCAAGGGTCGCAAAGCATTACACCCGCATTGCGCACACTCCAATGTCCATATATGGGGGGTTGCTAAATTCCTACGTGACACGCTAATTATGTGTGCAGTGAGAATATACGTTCTTCTTATACGTTCTCTTGTCTTGTTTCAGGCATACGGAAATGCTGGAATGTTTGTTGACTTTCCTGATGACCTTCAGTCGTATTTCCGCAAACTGAAACCCGGAGAACAAAATCGAGTCACCATCACCGGTTACCAAGAACATAATCAGCTCAAGGAAATTTTGCCGCTGGCAAGTGTATGTATAGTAGGCTCAAAGGCAAGTGAGGCCTTTGGAATGGTGTCTCTAGAAGCCATGGCAGCGGGAGTGCTTCCACTCTGCAATGACCACTCAGGGCTGTCCGAGGTTCTTGAAGCTGTGCGTGATGTAGCACCAGATCTTGAAATCAAAATGAGGCTGCCGGTACGTCCAGGGGGGTCACATGGAACTGCAGATGGTGCGTTTTTCATAGAGCAGTTGCTTGACAAAATTGAAGTGGCACGACAATTTATATACCCAAATGGAATCAAGAATCAAGAGAAACGTAAGGAGATATCAGCTCGACTTCGGCACTTGGCAGTATCTAATTTTTCATGGGATGAATTGTGTAAGAAAATTTCTGACTTAAAAGAAGCGCCTGACGTCTAGATAAGTAAATTAACCCGTATTAGTCAAAACCTACTAATGATCTATCACAAATCCTGCGCTCTGATTGGCTGAGCCACTAGTGCTCTATTATTGATCGATCACTACTGGCGAAAAGTGCAGATAACCAAAACAATTAACTCGCGTTTTCAACTTAATTTCAAAATAAATTTTATCCATTTTTTAACAGATTAGTAGGTTTATACTAAAAAAAATTAGACCTCCACCTAATTAATTGGCTATTGACTCGTAGACTCGTAGGTTTAAAATCGTCAAGTAGACCTTCCGGAGAAAACCTTTTGAGCTTTTATGACTAATTTTGTACTCTTCCCATAGTCCTAGTCTCCCCATATATAGTTGCCACTAAAGTAACGACCTTTGCGTTAATTTTGGTTTTAATTTTTTATAGTGCGAATGACATGACACAATAAAATCAGCACCAGCACATGTACGATGTTAAACTAAACATCAACATTTACTAAGGAATGATGATGAACTAGAACCTATAGTCCATCTTATTAATGACTTAAAACCAAATATATACCAACGTTTTTAAAATCCGGCAGTATGTGAAAATTTCTTTTTTTGAATTGAGCGATCAAAACAAAATAGTTTCCCCTTATACGTAAAGCCAGGTGCATATCCTTCGGCATAAACGGTTACCCACAAAGTTTGATATGATTCAGCTGATTCCTGCAATGCCAAAAGAGCATCGGTTTGAAAACGAACTCCGTGTCTAAACTGTTGTGAAATCTCTCGTATTAGCTTTTGAAAAGGCACCGTATTTAGCATCAGCTGTGAACTCTTTTGATACTATATTATTTTCTTTATGGCTTTCATTTCTGACCGTGGCCTGTAGTGTTTTGGTTTCTTGATCCCCCCAGTTTGGAAAAGGACGGTTTAGAGGTTCGATGCAACCAATGGTTTAAGATATAGGAAACTTGAAAGAACTGTCGAGGGTGCGGCTTCTGATCGGCGTTTTCATTACAAAGCCAGACGTATTAAGCACGTTTTTATTACAGAAAAACACTTCTTTTAGCTGTTTGACTCCAACACTGACTTCACGGGTTAAGTTTGTTTTGTTCTAACCATTCTGTTATATTGGACCTAAAAAGTTCAAAAATCGTCGGGTTTTGTTTGTCATTTATTTACGAACGAGTGTAATTTTAGGTTTTCATTATCATTATTGGTTTCATTTACCTTGACCAAGCTTTACGAAGTTTTAGGAAAGCGTTTTCCAGTGTTTATAACCTTGGAATGAAAGAAGTTAAAAAAACACGTAGTTAACAAGGGCGGATCCAGCCAAAATGTTAGGGGGGGGGGCTAATTGAGTTTAGGGGGGGCTAATTGAGTTTCTTCCGTCAAAAGGGGGGCTGAACAGCCCCCCTTTGCCCCCCCCCTCCCTGGATAAGAACGCCCTTGGATAAGAACGTCAATGAAACAAACAAAACAAAAAACTTTTGAAAATAGAAATGATGGGAAAAAGTAACGCGCCCGCGCCGCGTAGTATAGTCTGTTGCTACGCAACTGGAATGTACGTTCGAAAGTAACGAGCGAGTGAAAATGACATAAGTTCGGCAATAACATTCCAATAATGTTAATTAAATCTAAATCGAATAAAATAATTAATCATTTACTTCAAATTTTGGGGTTTGGTGATATATTGAGATCAAATGTATTAATTGCAAGTTAAAAACAACAATAAAAAACGATTTTTGAAGGTTCTGTAAATTTAAGTTATTTTAAAAGTCTTACATGTCAACCAAAGACATAGTTCTGCCATATTTTGTCAAATAGACTTTTGCACTCAATCCTAGCCCCAAGTTTGGCACAGAGCAGAAATGAGCCTGACATCTTTCTATGCAAAGAATAAGCTTCTTCAGGGGGAGGGGTGAGGCGATGTCGGAGCATAACAGGAATAAGGTCCATTATTCTGCGAGAAGTGTCTTGATTCCCAAAGTCAAAAGCTCCTGAGTGAGAGAATGGTTCTCCTAAGATCATTACTGCTTCAGTGTGAGTTTTTGTCATAACCTGAAAAAAGTTTTTAAGAATATAAATAAGAAATAAGAAATAAGATTTGATGTGACAAAGACTACAACAGCAATGATATTTGACAATTCAATGGTCCTCAAGCCCAAATGGGCTATGAGTTATGCACTTGTCATTGGCTTCCATGAGGGGGGGGGGGGGGGGGGGGGGGGGGGGGGATCCCGGGCAAATGTGGGTGGTAGTCCAACGGGTTGGGTCACTTGTTCAAGCCCTGTGGTCACCACATGTGAGTTGAGTTTGTTTGATGTGTTGTTCTCTCCTATGCTACGAGGCTTTTCTCCGGGTTCTCTGGTTTCCTCCCTCCATAAAAATCAACATGGGAGCTGAGCGTTGTGTGCATAGAATATTGAATGTAGTGGTAGTGCGTATGAGCAAAAAGTGTCCCCAATTAGTGCGAAAGCACTAGAATGATTAGACACTTAAACAAAAGTAATTTTGATGATAGGGAGCTTGAGAATAGGTCTGATGTCTTCTGTATATATGTATAGTTCAGGGTATGGATAAGGAGGAGTGGAGAGGGGCCAATTTACAAAGGCATAGTACTAATGTTGGACAGTGTACTGATAACCATACCTTTGATTCATATCCTGTGAGGAATGACAGGGCTATAGAATTGTCAATAACCATCTTATGATCACCTAATGCACCTCCTTTGATAATCTATTTAAAAACAAAGAAATAGAACAGCATACAGGTAGTTCTTACTTTTACATATGTTGAGCTTATCTGGAACAAGTGTCAATAGTAGCTATTACTGGTGTTGAAGGGAAGATTTTTCAGGGTGATTAACCCTTTGACTCCTACGACGCCCGAAACCGCCCGTAACAAAAACCGTCC